GCATCCGTGGGCTTCTAATAGCCTACGGTACAGCTCCTTGTCTGTAACAATGAGAGAGCAATTTTTAGATATAATTTTTTAAATATTGAACAAACGTTAATATACCTTTTAATATTTCCCGAAATGTGATTAGTTTTGGAGGTCCATCTTTCTCCTTCTTCTCCTCCTCTTTATTCGTTTTAATATTTAGTATATCCCATACATAGGGTGGGACGGTGCACATTTTGCATGTACATAATTCTCCCTTTAATAATTCACTAATTGTTATAACTTTGTGCACACTCATTGCTGCTACTTGTACTACTACTACTACTAATACACTGAATTGGATTTATGCTATCAGACGCGCGTTTAGCGTCTCACCCCCCTCTCTCCCTCCACTACTTCTCTCTCCCCACCCCACTCACTATTCAAGAAATGAAACGCAGAGTTCAGTAATATTTTTCCACTTTATTTAAAATAAATAAATACAATCATCAAGCTTATCTCTATTAACAATATACCATTTATATATAGCATATACATTCTGCCTAGTGCAGCGTAAATTATTAATTTTATGTCTATTACAATGAAATTTTAAGCTAGATAACATTAAATCTTTTACTCTACTACAGCCATACGGCTCCAAGTCAATAATAATATTATTAGGTAAATGAGGCTCCAGCCATCTCTTTTTCTCCAATCCTTTCACGACGGCAGGCTACTCCTCGTGTAACACACTATCGGATATGAAATCTCCGAGTCCACTGTACGGTAAATTATCCCACGATAACGACCATCTAAGACCATGTACGTAATTCACAGTCCAGTCGATTTGGATTTGTACACTCTCCCTGAGATGTTTATAGGGAATTTTGGGCTTAACTATTCTATTCACACAGGATCTGTCGTTAATGTTAAAAATTGAAATTTCCTTGCACGTGAAAGCCAATTCTTTTTTGTATTGGAATCCCTGCAAGTCGATTATGTACATAGCTGCTGATGCTGCTACTAATAAGTGCGAACTATGCTCGTCAGAGGGTTATAGTACTCGATCCTATCGTGAATTATAAGACAATAGGCTGCGGTCTCCTTCGGGATATTGTCATTAGTACCGAATTCCAACCTAATGTCCACAGTTCCCAACTTTAGAACCTCATTCTGACAGGAACAATCGACGACTACCAGAGGAGCCATATGCTTGTACGTATATGTAGTTAGAAAATACTCGCTATCCTTCTGATAATATGAATGTTGAAATTGAGCATACATGTCATACAGGATAGCATAACAATTCTATGAAAAATCCACATTCAAGTTATCGTACGGGTACGAATCGGAATTTAGAAACACCTTGAAATTGGTCAAATTGCAATGATCAAACTGGCTCATGGCCTTATCAATCTTATTCTTACGGGCCACTTGGAAGCCGAAAATTATGAATCGAGGCTTCTCCAGCTGTGAAGAAGTTTTTATGCTCCAAGTATGTGTCCGGGTCTCGGTAAGCAAGGGGTACTCGTGCAGTTCCCAGCTACGGAAAGGCACAGCCAATTCTACGTTTCTGTCGATATATTTCAACAATTTCAAACGTTCCGCATCAGCCACCGATACGTGTGGCACCTTCCATGAAACACTCTGTAGTTGTACACGGAGACCCTCATCGTCGCCAGCAACGCCCACGATGGCGTTCGTATCAGTGGAGCCGCGAATAAGTACCAGCTCCTGTCTCAAATTGACGATAATTTTCTGGAAATCTTCCCCGAATCCCATGCATATCCTCAGAGGGATGCATACGTCGAAATTGCCCTCGGCATCGGTGAAATGGTCGCTGATAATCCAGCCGGCATTTTCCAACTTTAGGCTTTCATTTTGACTGATTGACACGTAGTTCTTCATGATGGTCGTGAGGCCGGGGTTTCGCGATCTATCCACAGGTATACCATTCAACTCGTATCGGATTTCGTCGAACAGCAGCAAAATGCCCATCCTGTCGAACTTTGCAGTCGCCGAAACCGTGCCATCAGCTTTGCACAGTCTACCTCTGATATACAGGAGACTATAATATGGAGCCGTATACGTATCCTGCTGCTGAATCGGGATGCGGATTTCATCGTTGTTGTTCAAGTTCGTCGCCGAATACGGACCGTGGGAACGCTTCTCGAAATTTACTATAGCGTTATCGAAGAGCGGCTTCTCCAACACGTTTAGAATATTAGAATTCATTGCGACGTGGTGGTAGCACTTTGTAGCCCAGAGAGTACAAAATCTTCTTGTTTTGCGATGTGAACCCTTTAAACGTCACAGGTAGACTAATTGATTTCGCTCCAGGTGAGGCTTTTAAAGGTTTTCGGCTGTGACCGACGACAGCGAGCCCAAAGCCACTCCGGATTCTAAGCCCCATTCCTCTTCAGGTGCAGTCTTAACGTGATGACTTCTCCACGGAAATTGATCAAATCCCCGTCTTGATCCACTATTTTAATGGTTACACCCTCGATGCGACGCTTGTTGACCGGCAGGTAGATTACGTTGGCCGGAGAATCTATTATTTTATAGCCAGGACCGACTCTCGGGAAAAATTCGTGTAAGATGTGACCCGGTTGACCGTTAATGAAACTGTTCGAAACGAGATTGCACTCCACACAAATGGCGTTGACTTTTTGAATTTTAATAGGATTATTGGATTCGTGAAACTTGTTCGCCTTTAATTTACGGTTTTTATATCCCAATAATCTACCTATACTGTTGGGTTTGTTGAAATTAATTGTCGTGTTTGCTTTAATTTCACACTTTAACGTATTTTTATTGGATTTTATGGAAACAAACACTAAATTATCGGGGAGATTAGTATCGGTAGCGGTGAGCTCGGCTAAATTACTATTTATGTATGTATTTATATCTTCTATCTCGTAGGATCCCTCCGGTATTTTTATAACTTTATCAGCATCACCGTAATAGAAACGATTATTCGTAGAATCAACATTCGGTATGGAGTGGTAGGCTAGAAAGTCCGTAAGCCCGATTACATATTCAGCATCGTCCTCGAGCTCAATAGGCGGGTAAAACTGCGAACTCAGAATCGATGAATCACCCGATAACGTAAGCGTATATGACATATCAACACACACGTGCACTGTTCTGCTTGGATGACTCACGCCGACTGACCGTGACTTTATCAGCGTGACTCATTATATAGGAATTTCAGACACAGATGTCCACAATTCACCGTATCATACGTCTGGTATTGTTTATGATTATATTTGACGCGACATGACTAGATATTTTAATAATTCCACAGGCGGTCTCAAATTACCGAAACTATCGAAATATACGGCTTCAGATCCTCTCTTGTAATATGCCGTCCAATGAGTACCTGCACCACTGTCACTGTCCAAATTCAGGATCCCACACTCGTTTTTATGTACATTTTTAGGTAATCGATCCCTCATATAGATGCGTCTGAAGTGTGGAATTTCCAATAATTTTGCGTATTTAAGTAAATCTTGATCGGTGAGAGCGCGATTCGGTAGTTTTTCTAGTCATTTGCCGGCTTTCTTGGACTTGTTACAACACTTCTTCTTCGTCTTATTCATATACAGGCCATGTCCTTGTCGATAGGGTTGTAGGTAGAGGAGAGAGATTGCCTCCATTTTTTTCGTTGTGACGTTGAGATTCTTTAAGCTGGGTGGCTGCATTCCTAGCATCGTTTACAGCCTTGGCGATGCCCGCAGCTCCACCAGACAGAGCACTGAGAGCGCTAATTCCCGCGAATATGGGAATCAGAGGCAGGAGACCGCCGGTCTTTGGAATTGGAATTACGCGGGCCTTTGATATGCCTCCGGTGGAGGCCTTCTTCATGCGTTCGGCTACTCGAACAGCCTTCTTCACGGCATCCTCAACGGTGCTTGCCTGACGTACAGCTTTGCGGATTTTATCGGAAACTTTGCGGAATGTTAGAGCTCCGCCGGATTTTTTCGCAGGCTTCTTCCTCTTGGGCTTCGCGATGCCCCAACCCAATTTAACTTTAGCAGCCATGGTTCCGGCTACTCCCGCACATCTGTCTTTCTGTTAGTATTGACCATGCGCTTCAAGAAAGAAGTTGCGGCAGGCGGCAGTCTCGAAATCGAAAACATCGATTTCGTGGACAACGGCGATAAGCAATTCAAAAAACATGGGCCCCTGCTACCACATAGTCTTAGATGTATTATATGTGGACCTTCGAACTGTGGCAAAACGAACGTGAAGATCGGTCTGCTGACTCATCCGAATGGATTGTACTTTAAAAATGTTTACGTCTACTCGAAATCGCTGTATCAGCCTAAATACAAGTATCTGGAGAAGGTGCTCGATTCACTTGTTGAATACAATCAGTTCAAGAACAGCGACGATATATTAACACCAGCCCAAGCTAAATTGTACTCGGTGTTTATCTTCGATGACGTAGCATGCGATAACCAGAGCCCGATACGTGACTATTTCAGCATGGCGCGGGTTCAGCACATAAACGGGTGGATTGTTTCTATCTCTGTCAGACTTATATGCGTATACCGAAGCACTTGGTGAGACACAATGCCAACTTTATGGTGCTATTCAAGCAGGATGACCTCAATCTCCGGCATGTTTATAACGATCATGTGAATACAGATATGAAATTTGAGGATTTCAAACACATGTGCTCCTTATGCTGGACAGATAGATATGGGTTTTTAGTGATAGACAAGGATAGCGACATTGCCAGCAGTCGGCGCTACCGTAAAGGCTTTGATGAGTATATATACCTGTAAAGGTGTGCATTATCATTAGTCATTCGTTAGCCGTGTATCATTATGGACGCGACCGCTACCACTAATAACATTATCAAAGCTCGAAAGTCCATCAAACGAAAATTGGAGGCTCTCAAGCGTCATGATCAGCTGGTTGAAAAATCTTTTGCACCCATCACGGCCCCACTTCGAACGATTGCTACGAATATCAAACAAGTATCAACACCTCAGTCGCAGCTGTCGACCTTGCCCGTCGTAAAACAGGAGATAAAGAAGTCCGAACCAAAGAGTGAGATAGAAGAAACAACGAGTAATGCCGATAGCGATAACTATATGGATCCCGACCCCACCGAGAGGGACGGCGGCATCGAAGAATCCAATTTTGACGAGGAATATCTTGAGAAATTCCACGATCTGCCTAAATTCTACATATCCGGACTGGTGCATGATACTAAAGATAGCTTTGACGTAAAGTATGGCATCAGATACAATCTCGACGAAGATGACTTCTATATCGGAGATTCTAAAGTCCAATTCGTTGACGATAATGTGCTAATAAAGGACAGCGAATATGAGGGAACGAGGGGCCTCTTTGAATTGTTGTTTAAGAAGCGTCCACTTAAAATTTACACGAGCGACGATGAAAAGAAATATGCTGACATCATTAGAAATACCAGTGCCAACAGACTGTCTTATGACTCATCGAAGCCGATATCGGGCGGAAATAGCTGGAAATATAAATATGTCATAAAGCCGATTCTTCAAAGGCACCGACATCGTGGTGGCGGCGGCAGTAAGCTAATGATGAATGTCACAGATAACGCTATCGACTACGTGTACTGGAACGATCCCAACGAACTTGTGGATCGACTTAGGCTTTTAATGGCCTCCCAAGAAGCGGGAAATTCCAATCACGTAAATGAAATGAACAGCATCATCGAGGAGCTTCTGGAAGCCAAATTAATTGCACCACGTGATTAATTATTGATTAGTTTGTGTGGGGTGGCCGTTCAGTAAACATGTCAGCTGTAAAGAGGGATATTGTTAACGAATTACATAAGCCTGCAAGAGTTAATTTTAATAGGCGAAAGGTAGTAATTCACGGGCTAGATGATCTCTTTCAAGCCGATCTCGTGGAGATGATACCATATGCTAAATTCAATAAAAATTATCGTTATATACTGGTTGTAATAGATGCCTTCTCAAAGTACGTGTGGACGGCTCCACTTAAAACAAAATCCGGCGAAGAAGTTGCTAGTGCTATGAAAAAGATTCTCGGTACTGATAGTCGAATACCTCGTAATTTACAGACGGATTTGGGCAAGGAATTTTATAATAAACACTTTCAAGCATTAATGAGGAAATTTAATATTAATCATTACTCCTCGTATAGTAGCAAGAAAAGTTCGATTGTGGAACGTGTTAATCGGACACTAAAATCCATAATGTATAAAGAATTCAGCTTTAACGGTACCTTTCGCTGGTACGATGTGTTAGATAAAATTGTGAAAAAATATAACAATACCAAGCATAGGACCATTGGAATGAAGCCCGCGTCCGTGAACAAGAGCAATGAAAAGATACTTCAGAGTTCGGTTTATAATTATCCAACGGTTACATATTCACGTCTGTCAAAGTTCAAAGTAGGAGACCGGGTGAGAATAAGCAAATACAGAGGGGTGTTCGATAAGGGTTACACCCCTAACTGGTCCAATGAAATTTTCACTGTATCCAGTATTAAGAGGACTGATCCTGTTACATACTTACTGTCTGATGGTCAAAGTCAACCAATAAAGGGATGTTTCTATACGGAAGAGCTGCAGAAGGTCAAGCATCCTGACGTCTACCTTATGGAGAGGATAGTGAGGAAGAAGGGCGATCGAGTTCTAGTGAAATGGCTGAGATTTGTTAGCACTCACAACAGCTGGATTGATAAAAATAGCATTGTTTAATTTTTTTGTTATCTTGATATTGTAAAAAAATCACTATTATTAAATATTTATTAAAGTATTATATATTTAATTTTTTATTATTATTAAGTATATATCACTGTATTTATTTAATTTAATNCACCGACATCGTGGTGGTGGCAGTAAGCTAATGATGAATGTCACAGATAACGCTATCGACTACGTGTACAGAAACGACCCCAACGAACTGGTGGATCGACTTAGGCTTTTAATGGCCTCCCAAGGAGCGGGAAATTCCAATCACGTAAATGAAATGAGGAGCTTCTGGAAGCCAAATTAATTGCACCACGTAATTAATTATTGATTAGTTTGTGTGGGGTGGCCGTTCAGTAAACATGTCACCTGTAAAGAGGGATATTGTTAACGAATTACATATGCCTGCAAGAGTTAATTTTAATAGGCGAAAGGTAGTAATTCACGGGCTAGATGATCTCTTTCAAGCTGATCTCGTGGAGATGATACCATATGCCAAATTCAATAAAAATTATCGTTA